CTTTCCATTATCCCTCTTTCAGGGACGGGGAAGAGGATGAATGATTTTCTACACAAATGCAGGAGTGGGAGGGCTGCAAATTAAGCCAGGTGGCTAATCCTTGCTAAGAGAAATCCTAGACGTTTTTTGAAGAGCGCATTAGTATTAGTATTCATTTTCCAATTAAGCATGAACCTCTTAAATTGATTTCTTTTATAAGGTATTCTTAAAAGGAAATAAAAAGACTGTTTAAAGCCTTGGCATGAATCAGATTAACTTTTGAATCTGAACCTCTATGCAATTGACTGAAACTGGTCAATATCTATGTTGAAAGTTTAGTCATATTATTAAAGGAAAAACAGCGTGTTAAAAAAAAAAATCTAGTATATATGCTGCATATATGCAGTCAAGACCTTTGAGAACCTGCATTACTTCCCTGATATTATTCATTTAAGCTACTCCTGTATGAATTTTTGCTAAGCAAACTTGTTTAGGATCCAGTTGAAATTCCTTTGAAGACAATATGGATGTCCTAGAGATGTTAAAATATTAGAACATTCTGATCTAGCACACAATACAAATTTATTTTCTCTTTCTCTCAGTTCAGCTATCCACAGGTTAACAGAGGTAGAACAGCCCAAGGTCAGCATAGCAGCTCAGGATTTAGGAGATTGAGAAATAGGTCACCTTTCATTTAAAAATAAAAGTTACCATTCTTCTTTTCATGAATGTTTCATGAAGGACATGGTCTATTTTAAGCATGCCTCTTTTGCCTCTGGTGGCTGTGCTCAAGTTCCAGCCCCAGGCCACCACTGTGTAGAGACCCAAGACTGCTGTGCTTACCCCGTACCACGGGTGGCACGTAATTAGTTCCCCCACCAGGAGTTGTGCACACACGTTAAGACGGCATCGGCTGGCCTCACACTTCCCTCAGTATACCCACCTCCTCCTCCCCACCCTTATGTACAATCAGTTGCACATCCAACAGCATTCAAGATGACGAAATGGTGGCTGAAAACAAACTTATTTTAAATTATTTTGGATCTTTTTTTTTTTTCCCAGTCCTGGTCAGTTCCCTGGTCTGGTTCATTCCCAACAGCACAAACCTCTCTGTCAATACAAGGAGGAGAAGCAGGAAAGAAGAACCTGATTGCATAGAAACAAACTTTTACAAGAAAAGGGTGTGGGAACAATTAGTGCTTGGGATTATTCCTGGGAAACAGCAGACACTTCACTACGTCCTCTGGAGTACAATTCCATCATAACGGTCTGCATGGGATACTTTGCGCGTAGCTTATTACCGTAGGAATACAAAAGCAAAGGGCTCAGCTCAGGCAAATAAGTCACTGACTTCAGTGCCAGCATGTCCATACGCTCACAAGCACACAAATCCTAGTTTCTCTAGGAATCCATCTTTTATAGATGCAAATCTGGAATATGCCCATTCTCTGGCCTCTGCACATATTTCAGAACATCGTTTCCTCTGAAACAGAGAGGAAAAATACTTCAGAGACATTATAAAAGAAAGTATTTTAACACTGAAGAGTTCTTATTTGTCACTTCAAACATCGGGCAGCACAATAGCAGGTGACTGTGAAAGGTGCGTGGACATAGGTAATTTACTGGACATAGGTAACGCCTGAGAGAAAATCTCAAAAGACGTACGCTAGAGGATGATGGGTTTGTGCATTTCTTGCCAGGTTGAGATAAGGCTGAAACACATGACAGAGAGAATTGAAGATAGATATTTTTCCATTTCTTGGTTTTGCTTCTCAGCCAGATCAGAGCCTGGGACAGACGTAGCTGTTACTTTTTGCTCTGACCAGCTTTAGCACTTTGTTTCTGCAATTGTCTTCAAAGTCTACACAACACACTACGGCGCTGCAGTCTGCATGCTGCATAGCAGCCCTGGCTAAATAGTCCCCAGAAACTGCCTGCAAGAGGTGTTTCCACTGCGGTATCACTGGACTATATTTAACGATGCTAACAATGCACAAAAGCCGGTTAATGTTTTACATGACACACTTTCAGAGTGATCTGTCTTCCAGCTGGGCTGAAAGCCCTTGTATCAGAGAAGCGTAGCATAGAAAAGCAGAGGAAAAGCAAGTCAACTGAAATAGGTTCCTCTTCTTTATCGTCAAGAAAACATATTTTACAATCTCAAAGAACCAATGAGGTAAGAGAAGAGGCTGCACTCCTTTCAAATGTCTACACGTTGCTGTGAGACTGTGCAAAAGTACAGCACTGAATACGTAGGCTTCATAAATATTATTATTTTTGACGTATGGTGGAGAGGCAGGCAAATTCAGCTCTCACTTCCAGCGTTACCAGTGGGATTAGAAAGTCAGAGATCCCCCTGGTATTTCTGCAATATCTTCTTCTCCTTTGTTCCCGATGATTCAAACCCAGTTTTGCCTTCAGGAAGAAGTTCGTGAAGAACCAAAGTTAACTCACCCAAATAGTAATTGTCCGGAGTGATTTATTAAAAACTTGACTCAAGAAAAATTATCCAAAAAGGAAGGAGGACTATACCTCTATAATCTATCAGCTATATCAAGATGATACGGGCAGACACGGCCTTGAGCTAAGCTCCTCCAGAGAGTCACAGTTGCACCGGGCTAAGTATTCACAAGCATGCTCGTATCAGAACATTTTCCAGTAAAGACAACTTGCCTATCAACTCAGGCCAAGGAAATGTCCCAGAGACAATGTGCCCTATGACCATTAAGAGCTAAACCTATATCTCCTGCTTTATTCCTGGTCACGCGGCATCATGGCAACAAGTATCGTATGAACGTAGAAAAGGTGTCCTGAGATCTCCATCACCCAGAATGGTTTTCATTACATGAAAATGACAGTGCTCGTCAGCACCTCCCCCACACCTGCACCATCTCTCTCTGTCACCTCAAAGCCACTAAAAATCTAACCCAAAGAAAAGGCAAACAGTCCTCTGAGGATGTGGTCTGCGCAGTGGCCTTCACAAAAAAGCACAAGCCAAAGGGAGAAAGGACGCTATTAAACAGCAGAGAGATGACACCTTCCCCCACGACAGCAGTGGATAGTTCAGAAGTCGGTGCTATAGCCTTCCGTATCTATACAAGCCATGAAAGCAGAGGACTGGAACGACACGGGAAAAAGGGGCACGCTGGGATCTGCTGTCACCATGGCAGCACAGGCACAGCAAGCCGTCACCAGAAACACCTTCACAGCCAGCTTTGTCTTCCTTCTTTCAACGACAGTCAGCAAGACTTCTGTTTGCAGACTGTTTCTCATTGAGTCACTGTGGAGGAAAGAAGAACACCTCCCTTTACTCCTTAACTGGTGGCGTGCTCTCAACAGCTTTTACGCTGCTTGAACTACGTGGGAATCAACTGACAGGGGAGAAGTACCTACACACCCTTCACCCTAAGCACTCCCCCAAAGAGCCCGCAGCCAAGATCACATCGGTCCTGCCTGCTTGTCTAGAGTCACGACTGATCTGCAGCTACCCTTTGTGCAACGCCAGGGCGGGTCTGCCTTCACCTTCAACCACCCGTTCGGTAGCTGAGGCAAGAACAGGCCGGGGACAGCAATCCCCCACGGGCCTTCCCGTCCTCAGACTGAAAACCCCACCTCCAGGCCCCAAGGACCTCGGTGGCCCTACAATGGACTCCTCCCGTCGCCCCTGCGCAGCAGCCCGGACCCCCTCCCCTCCCCTCTGCCCCCCCCCGCTACTGTCGGGTGCGGGGACAATGCCACTTGCAGGGAGCTGAGCGGCTGGAGGGTCATGGAGACTCCCCGACCCCCCTGGGACGCTGCGGCCACTGTCCCGCTGAGGGGACCCCAGGCCTGGCACGAGGAGGGGGCTGGAGCCCCGGGCACACAAGGGCAGCTGAGGGCAGTCCCGGTGCCCGAGGGGCAGTCTTTCTCTCTCGCAAGCAAAATGGCCCCCCGGAACGGGGCCTTCATGGCCTCATGGGCCGCCGTCCGAGCCACAGTGACTTCCGTTGGTGACGTCACCAGCCTTCCGTTACAGAAGCAGGCACCCCTGCGGCTGGCCCACGGCTCGCCGAGCAGCTAGAGATTCTGACACCAAGCGTGCTTGGTAGAGGAGGACCCGGCGAAGCGAGGCGAGTGCCCACGGGCAGTGGGACGAGCAAGAAGAGGTTCTTGGAACCACTGAGGATGCCTCCGCATCTCAAACCACAGAAGCGGGCTGACGGGAGGAGCAACGTCCACGGCACGCGAGTCGAGCCCATGGAGGTCGACCCACCACAGAATGGCGATGAGCCCGTGGAGGTGGATCCACCTGCAGAGGAGGAAGAGCCCTTGGAGGTGGATCCACCTCCCTCAGGGCTGACGGGGCACTGCGCCACCATGGCCGGGGTGCCTCCAACACTGTGGTGCCCAGAGCACTGCAGGACTGCCGGGGGCTCTCAGGGACCCTCCAAACAGCCAGCTCCCAACAAGCAGCACCACCCCCACAGCCGACCCTAGCCATAAGTGGACCATCCACACCGACATCTGGCAGGCTCATCAGGGAGATCACCAGCTGTCAAGGCACAGATGAGCCCTGCTTTCCCACCCCCCACACCCACCCCTCATGAAGGGGGGCATCTCCTCTGCTCTCAGCCCTGGGGAAGAGGCGAGGAGAGGGGCGGCCGTCTTCTGGCCGGCAGCACCACAGCACCAGGAGGAGTCCCTTGGGCCTGCTCGAGACCATCAGAGACTGCCGAAGACCATCGGAGACCACCGGACACCACTGGAGACCGACGGAGACCACCGGACACTGCTGGAGACCGCCGGAGCCTCTTGGACTCCCCTGGAGGGCCACCAAGGTTATTGGGGCCTGGAGGTGGCATTTTTTCAGTCTGAGGATGACAAAGCCAGTGGGGGGTGGCTGTCCTCAGCTAGCCCTACAAGCCACGGGCTCATCTC